CATATGAGGTCCGAAGGGGAACCAAGGGTATAGAACCCCATAAAATTGTATGCTCTTTCATTCTAGATACCTTTCGAGAAGATCTGAAATGGGGCCGATCCTCGTTCTTATTGCACCCCGTCCTTTCGCTGTATTCAGTGGTTTACCAAGAACGTTTCGTTTGCATTCTTTATAGGAGAAAATGACCGTGTGAAACTTTTTCTGTAAGTACGTAAATACTTATTCCATCCATTGTATTACATTGTGATGGTGGTGATGGCATGTCCTCTGGAAAAATATAATCTGTTACTTAACACCTTCTATTTAAACAGTTACACCTATACATGTTCTTTTTGTTGGCTGCTAATTAATTTGGTGATAATTTCGCAATGAATAAACTTGGTGATCAAAACACATTTTTTCCAGAAGTACTTATACTTATTATATACTTTACACTTACTGACAAGAAGTATTTCTTTTATCTTTGACTTTTTTATTTCTTTAGCTTTTATAATATGACTAATTCCTTTATTTATTTTTGTTTATTAATAGTTTTTACGTATTCTTGGCGAAGAGAAAGGAAAAAAATGTGGATCTCTTCCGAAAGATATATATAAATTGCTAGACTGTATACTTGTGTGACTTTCTTCCTTGCCATAATTATTGGATCAATCGGAACTGCATTATATCGCTCAGAGAAACGAAATGAATGGTTTTATACGAATACAACTTGCTTGATAAACGATTACACCGTTACTTCTCATAACTGCTCTAGAGAAGATTGTTATGATACTGCTATTGAGGTATGTCTCGGCAAACATGTACAACAACATATTATACATGTTATTCGAGTTATTACATCGTTTTGTATTGGATTTCAAATGAAAAAATGATAAAAAATACTATCCAGCATTTTGGATATAGATCGTTCTGTTGATTATCCGATGGATCCGGCAAAATCGGCAAGAGTTATCAAAATAGGATTAATACTAAAAGTGGCGCTGATATTTTATTTTTATTAGATTAGTGGAAGCTATATTTGTTACTATGATACAAGTAAAGTAGACAATGTTCGATAGGAGTTTTCCAATTGAAGACCATTTTTCGTCATGATGATCGTTGGATGGTGTCTACCAGGACCAAGGCTTGTTATCATATTAACTGGCTACATCGGTTTAGGTCTGGAAAAGTTATCATCTATAATGAAATTACCCAACTTACAACTAAATGTCTCAAAAAAGTAAAAATATGTAACAGATATGTTCCAGCTAAGCGACGAGTGTTAGATTTTGGAAAATGTAAGACCAATACCTTCCGTCCCATTCAAGTTTTGTAATTCCCTATTTTCCGAATTACTTTTTGTCTTGAGAAAAATAATCAGTTCGAACGCTTTCAGTTCATATGAATAACGCAAAATAAAGCACTCCAACTACTGAACTGTGTAAAGCCTTTAAATGTGTCAAAAGTAGAATATCCATCCTTAAAAGGCAGAAAATGTTTTTTAATGACTGCGAAGGATCCGTCGGACTCCAAAATTTCTTCCTGGATTTGCATAGAGGGCCTCCAGTGTAACTGAACGAACGCAACGAGTTTGATGTAAATCTCATTACCACCGTTTACCATGCGGCTAGGACGGAAAAAAACTTCGATTGACTTTAAAATTGAACATTACTGCAAAAAAGCACACTTTATTAATCACCGTTTTGCACGATATTTTAGCAAATATTTGCAGTTACTGTAAGTATTAGTCGTTGATTAATTTAGATTCACAAAGGTTCGGCTTATGTGGAATAAGCCTAAAATGTGTTGGATTTTGTATAAAAGATCAGTTCGTTTTCACATAGTCATCCTTTGGTGATCTGATTAGTATTACCATCCGCTTGAGTATTTTCTGAAGACGTATTCACTTCTGTTACTATTAGTCCAGAGTTCAGGTTAGGAAACTCTTTCAAAGATACCACTCAGTGAGCTATTTACATTCTTTAAAAAATTCGATCTTTTGTTGAATACGTTCAAGAGCAGGATGATTTGGAGGGAGTGTTTCTTCAAAAATTCTCAGTGCTTGTTCGTAAAATGAAAGTGCTTTCGAGTATTCTTCCCTGGCGCAATAAACCTCGCCGATACAGTAATAAGTAACCGCTAACTCCGGATCGTTCGGCGAGAGTGTTTCTTGTCGAATTTGAAGTGCTTTTTCATGAAACAAGATTGCTTTTGAGTATTTTTCCATATTACTGTACACCATACCGATGTTGCTATATGAACTAGCTAAATCTTGATGATTTGGAGGGAGTGTTTCTTCATCAATTCTCAGTGTTTGTTCGTAAAATGAAAGTGCTTTTGAGTGGATCCCTGCCAAGGCATAAACCTCACCGATATTGTGGTAAGTAGCCGCTAAATCCCGATCGTTCGGTGAAAGTGTTTCTTGTCGAATTTGAAGTGCTTTTTCATGAAACGAGATTGCTTTTGAGTATTCTCCCACATTACTATACACCATACCGATGTTGCTATATAAACTAGCTAAATCGTGAGAATTTGGAGGAAGAGCTTTTTCACGAATTTCACGTGCTTTGTGGTAAAACGAAAGTGCTTTTGAGTGGATTCCTGTTTTGGCATAAACCACGCCGATATTTGTGTATGAATCGGCCAAATTCGGATGATCCGGAGGGAGTTCTTTTTGACGAATTTCAAGTGCCTTTTCGGAAAATGATAGTGCCCTTGAGTATTGTTTTATGCGCGTATATGCTGAACCGATACTGTGGTAGGAAGTAGCCAAAGCGAGATGATCTGGAGGAAGAGTTTTTTGTTGGATTTCAAGGGTTTTTTGATAAAATGAAAGTGCTTTTGAGTACTCGCCAGTCTTCTGATACAACCTCCCAATGTTGTTGTAGGACAAAAGCAAATCGGGATGATTGGGAGGGAGAATTTTCTGCTCGATTTCAAGTGCTTTTTCGAAAGACGAGAGTCCTTTCGAATACTGGCTCATCTGGTAATACGAGTTCCCAATATTCTTGTGGGCAATAGCCAACGTTCCATGGTTCGGAGGAGGAGTTTCTTTGAAGATATCAAGTGCTTTTTCGAAAAACGAATTTGCTGTTGAGTATTCGCCCATGTTGTAATACACCATACCCAGGTTATTGTAGGCAGTAGCCAATTCAAGACGGGGCGGGGGAATACGTTTTTGGAGGATCTCAAGTGACTTTTGTAGAGACGAAAGCGCTTTTGAGTATTCGCTCATATTGCCATACACCATGGCAACGCTGTTGTAGGAATTAGCCAAATCCGGATGATCAGCTGGGAGTGTTTTTTGACGAATTTCTAGTGCTTTTTCGAAAAATGACTTTGCTGTTGAGTATTCGTGCATGTTGTAATACACATTACCTATGTTATTGTAGGTACTAGCCAAAAGGACATAGTTTGGGGGGACTGTTTTTTCGTCGATTTCAAGTGCTTTTTTCAAGAACGAAAGTGCTTTCGAGTCCTCCCCCATGATGCGATACAGCCCGCCAATGTTGTTGTAGCAAGTAGCTAAATTGGGATGATTCGGAGGGAGTATGCTTTCGCTAATCGCAAGAGCTTTTTGGTAAAATAATAGTGCCTTGGGGTACTCGTTCATTTTTGCATACAAACAAGCGGTATTGTCGAAAGATGTAGCTAAGTCGGGATGATTTGAAGGTGATGTTTTTTGACGAATTTCTAGTGCTTTTTCGTAAAAGGAAAGTGCTTTCGAATATTCTCCCATGCTTGCATACATCAAACCGGCGTTGTTGTATGGAGAAGCCAAAGAGGATGGATTTTTAGGGAGTTCTTTTTCCAGGATTTCAGTTGCTTTTTTGTGGAACGAAAGTGCTTGTGAAAACTCACCCATGTGTTCATACAAAACTGCGATATTGGCGTAAATAGCGGCTAGATGGTGATGATTGGAAGGTAATCCTTTATCGTAGATTTCAAGTGCTTTTTCGTAGAACGAAATTGCCTCTTTATAGTTCCCTTTTCGGTCGTTCATCGCTGCAATATTAGCGTATGCATCTGCCTTTTCGATCTCGTTTTTGTGCACTAGACCAAGCGATACCATGTACACTTCTTCGGCCTTGTGGAATTGTCCTACTCTATACAGCAATATACCCAATCGATTCCATCCTTCAGATCCTTGTGTCTCCTCTCGCATTACTTTGGTAAGAGTACCAAGCAGTTGGTCGTCGTCCGCTGTTAGAGTGAGATTCACTTGCCAAAGTCGTTTGTCGCTGTTGATTTGTTTGATATCGGCAATACGAAAAACAGTATGCATTGAGAAGAGAATTTCGCTTTCTGCGTCCTTGAAGTAGCTGACTTCGTCCACAAGCGCAGAAGGAGACGATGTCACCGAGTGATCAATTGATATTTCAAAGAGAATTCCTGTCAATTCAGGATCACTTAGAGTGCTCTCAGCAAAGGCAAATGAGACTTGTTGATCCAGGCTCGTTGACAAGAAATTGTTAAAGGAAAGAAGTCCATCTTTCGTTTCCATCAATTTTTTGAAGTCCACTTTCGAGATCCCTTGGCCTCTGTAAACTGTCATTTTTTGCTCTTTGGAAGCCCTCGCTTGCTTCAAATGAAGTGTTTCGATGTGTCGGTGAAGATCTCTAATGAAAAAGCCCATTTTCATTATAGTATCTATTTCAAATGTGCGGAGAGCTCGATTGAGCATAGAATATAAGAAGCTATGACACGTATACCACCAGATAGGTGTTTGATTGTGGTATTCTCGTTCGAATTGATCAATCTTCTTTATTTCACCATCGTTGTCGACGTATTGATCACGACAATAAGTCGCGAAGTCTTTGGTTGCTTGTTCGTCAAATTCGATTTCAAGAAAAATTTCTTTAAATAGTTGTGTATACATGAACGAATGATCGAGTTGATCCAAACTTTTATTTGTTACGTCACGTGGCGAAACAAAACTCAAGGCAATTGAATGCTGATCACATTGCCTTACAGGTTCTTTGAGTGATTCACAAATCGAATCGATTTGTGTGAAAACACCTTTTACTTTTGGCCACTCTTTTGCCCATTGTTCATGTTGGAATTCGTTGACACAGAAAATATAGATTGAATTGAGTTGAGCGAAATCATGGATGCAGGGCACTATTAATTGTCCGAGAGCACCTGAAACAATCATAAATATTTTCTCGTTTGGTATCTCTGTGACATAGTCTATGCACTGATCAGCATCATTGAATAAATTGACAGTATTGACAATACGACGTAGCTGAGTGACTGCATTACGAAAGTCATTGTTGAATTCATCGATATCTGAATCGAGCCAAACTATAAGAAAATTTTGTACGATTCGCTGTTGTGTGAGTGAACGCTGTTTTGCGACAACTTTGTTCGATTGTACTGTTACAGTTGTACCGTTGTAAGTAGACATTTACTTTTGTTCTTAGAACGTGTTCCTACGATAAGCAACGAAAATCAGTACAGTTACTCTGGCAGTGAACGAATTAAAAAAACAGTAACGTTCACTCTTATAAAGTTGCTCCAATGAAAACAAAAACAGTCAGTGTCAAAGTGTGAGAGGATCGAGTAAATAAATGGATTCCAAATAGAAAGAGGCCACGTTATTTTTTCAACGTATTGCTTCGAGAATTTCAATAAAAAAAGTCGAAAACGTCTGACTGCTTTCTTACGCAGCATAACAACGAACTTTTTTCTCTCTCTTACCTGTTTGTATGAGAAATAAATTTGACCTTTTTTGCTGTGAAACACGTACCATTGCCACAAAGTAAGAATGCAACTAACGTCATCGTTGCAACAACAGGGAACAAACAATAGAGAAAAAAAGAACATCCTATGGCTTTATAAGAGGAAAAGGAGCAAAGAAAAAAGGATAGGAGAACGTTTAATGAGCGCAGGATCTCCAATAGAATAATGTGGACCTTGACGATTGCGGTCATATGTAGATTTAGATAAACGCTGTTGTTTCAAAATATTTTCATGTTCAAATCTATGGTATAATTTCAATGATTTATTTATTTGAACGACATAATCAGTCGGTTTTAGAAAAGTCAGATCCGATTGAGGGAAGTCGGTTGGCAATCGTGGCTTCCTACCGAACTGGAGTTCATACGGAGAAAATTTGGTTGTTGAATGAGTGCTTAAAAAGCATCTCTGCGGTCACCTGCGCTGTGCAACTCGGGAGAGCCAATGTGTGAAGATGTCAGTAATGACTAGAACATAACGATTTTCCGATGGTGTACGTGTGGTAACAGCTGGTATTTGATGATACAATATTCGGATCAGCTGCCCAGATCGAAGACTCACGACCGTATACAACAATATACGTTAAATTACGACGAAATACGTCAGTCATAAACGTTGACAGATACGACGATATGTAAACGATGAATTACGATGTAGTTACGTCAGTCGTATACGATCGTTTACGACAAGCCAAACTTTTCAAAAAATATCAGAACGTAACAAAGTATACGACCGTCGTAAACTGTAGTAACCCTGACGTATTTTCATCGTTTACGTTATCGTAGCAGATTTGATCTGAAAATATATTCTCAAAATGCAGTACAGGACTGAAAAACGGCCGGCACTAGCGGTGTGCATGCTATCTTGCACCGGTACGCACTAGTTCCACATTTTTCCTGGATCATAGTCATCTTCGTTGCATAAATCTAAATCAGCCACCCAGATTTACTGTTCTTTGTCAAAGTGAGCCCTTTCAAGTCGAAAGATGAAACCGAGCATAATCAGAATTTCTTCCTCACCAGGGAAATAACTTATTTGAGAAATGTCGGCAAACGGTTTTACTTTTATTCAACTCTCAACTTTGATTTTGAAGAGAACACATTCATACTGAACTTCACTTCAACTTCAATCATTGTGCAGAATATAGGAAAGAACAGCAAAGTTGATTTTGCAGTTCGTCTGCAAAGACCAAGTTCGTGTGTTCGATCCTAGCTTCGTGCAAGGATTGATTTTGTGTTTTGATAGTTTAAGTTTCAGAATGATATAATGGGAATTTATATTCTCGATTTCGTTCTGGTTCAAGATTAAAGCTTAA